TGCGATGATGAGCTCAAGTATAGCAGGGATCATGGAGGTGGCACAGGATCGGGCAGTGTTTCCTTCCGCTGTGCATGGGGTCACTATCAGTCGGAAACGACTTGACGGCACCTAACAACAACAACAGGTGTTCTGGTTACCTAGTGCCACTCTGACAAGAAATATACCACAAATGGTATGGCCTTAACAAACAGGAGTTTATTCTTATAATTTGGAAGCTTTAAGTCCAAGTTCAAAATGACAGGCTCTGGGGCTGGGTGAAAGCCCCTCAACCTTGGGGTCCAGCTCTGCCTCCTGCTCCTGGCCCACTGGAGCTAGAGGCATTTCTTCATTCAGACAGCTGCTGGCTGCTGAGGCTGAGAAGCCCCAAGGTTGACGAGTAAAAAGGCGCAGTCCCGATGTTATCAAACTGCACAGCAGGCAATTAATTCAAGTCCATTTTAAGTCCCAAAGTTGGCAGAACATGGCAGGCTGCTCAACAGAGACATGGCTACATGAAGGGTCCAAGTGTGCCATAAGGTAGAGACCATTCTCAAGGCTTCTCCTTATATATAGGAAGCAGACCACATCCCAAAGGCAGCTACTCTGCTGCTTGTGGTAGATTCCACCATGGAATTGATTGCCAGTCTCATCATGGGGAATAACTACCACAAGCTTCCCAGCCACTCAACCAGGCCCAGCTAAGTTGACATACAAATATAACCACCACAACATTTCTTCCACAATTTTCTCAGTGGTCTTTTTCGCCTCTTCTTGTTCTGGAATTCCAGTGAGTCTTATGTTGTATTTTCTCATGTCATCGCATGTAATTCTTAGGTTCTCTTCATTTCTCTTAAATCTTTGTTCTGATTTTTCTTCATACAATCTAGTGTCCAGGGATTTGTCTTCTAGTTTGGATATGCATTTTTCAGCCAGTTCTAACCTACTCTTTTATTGCTTCTACTGTGTTGTGTAATTCTGTCATTTTGGTACTCATCTTCTGGATTTCTAACTGCTGTTTTTCTATGAGTTCTGATTTTGCATTAATCTTTTTATTTTGTTATTGAATGATTTTCCTGAGTTCTTCCAGGGAACTGTCTGTGTTCTCCTTGTTTCTGTTTGGGGTTTCCTTAGGCTCTTGTATAGCTCTATGAACATGTCTTCTAAATTCCTTCTCAGATAATTCTATTGCCTCCTCTTCCTCCATGTATAATGAAACCTTTGTTTACAGTTTTGCTCCTAATGCCTTGTCCTGTTTTTTTTTGTTGTTGTTGTTGTTTGTTTTGAGGTTGCCTGTTGTTTCCTAGATATTTTGAGGTTGTCTTTAACTGTTGGTTATGTATTGATTTGTTTGTCTTGGTTTTAGGGTTTAATGTTTTGAAAAGGTGAAGCTGGTGTATTTTATTTTATTTAATTATTAATTCAGGTATGCTGAGTTGCTCTGCAGTTTTCTTTGTGATGGTGGAATCGCTGTGTGGAATGTGGATATGGGTTTCTGTTTGTTGTAAAGAGGGTTTAGAGTTCAAACTGGGAGGTTTTATGTTGGCTGAATGTGATTTCTTCTATTGGATGAGTGAAGTTTTTGGCGGAGAAGTGGGAGAGGAAGAAGGAAAGCTCGCTGTTGCTAGCGGCAGTTTCTAGGGCTTTGAGTGGGCTGCTACCAATGACATTGTACTATTATGTATAGGCCCACAGCTCAATTTCAGCAAAGACTCCAGTTGTTAGGAGATCGCCACTTTCCACCAGGCTCAGATACACACAAAAACCTTGATCCCGAGGCCTCTCAGCACCAAAAAGCCTACCCAAGGCAACTTCCTGGCTCTGTGATCCACCGCGAGGGTTTCTCTCTCTAGCCCTGCCTGCCCGCGGTGCTGGCCCAACCTGCCTAGACTGCAGTTGACTCAGGAGTTCCTCTGTGAGTCTGCCCACCCACAGCACCAAAGATGTGCTCGCTTTCAGCTGCACTAGAGTTGAGAGAGTGCCTGATAATAATCTGTGGCCTCAATTTTAGTGATAAAGTCAAGCTCAGACCTTTCAGTGCCACTAAGCTGACCTAAGCCTATTCAGTGACCCGCTGAGGGGGAGTGAGCCCACCCTTCTAGAGCACCAGTGGACTCTCTGCTTGGGTTTTAGTGGTGCTGGACATGCCCGTTTGCACCTAGCCGACCCAAGTTACCGATAAAATCAGGTGCTGAAGGTAGATCCTTGGGGTGATCGCTGGTATGTTGGTGTGGTCACTGGTAGGCTGGTGTGGCAATATAGATCTTAGATGCAATCAGTATCTTGTCTGTAATATTTTAAAAAATGAGAGCATGTTACTTAGCTTATAGAATATTTGTAAATAGTAGCTAAAAACTGAAACCTGAGAAAGACTGAAAACTGAAACCTGAGAAAGAAACATGGAGCAGGTAGAGCAAAAAGAGCAGTCAACATGGAAGATCAGGCTGGAAGGGACAGAGAGGTAGGAAGAGAACCAGATGTTAATTATGATATAAATTAAGTACTTGGATTTCAGGGTCACTGATTTTAAGTAGAAGCTAAAAAGTCTTGTGCGGTAATGGTTTATAAAATGTCTTTTGGGTTTGATATCCTTGTGGTTATGGATCTTTTCCAGAGTAGTTTCAATGTAAATAAAAATGGAAAAAGTGGGAAAAAATATGTGTAAATGACTTTTTGATAAAATGTTGAGAATTTAGATAATACAGGGAATAGCTAAGGTAGTACACAGGGTCAAGGGAGACTTATTTAAGATGGCAATGACTTGATAATAACCTTTTAAAATAGCCTTAGGATAAAAATCTAGTAGATAAGAAGAGTGTGAAATTACAGTAGAGAAAAAAAATATATCTTCAGTATATGGCACAGAATGAGATCAGTACCACAAACGTAGTAGTTTGTGTTGAAGAAAAAATGTTATTCTCCGGAACTAAAGATAAGGAGTATGGATGGGTGCAAGTGATCTGAGAATGAAGGGACATGGGAGTTACATGATTGGCAAGAGTTATGTCTAGTTTTTGAATAGTTGCTGAGGGAAATGAAAGAAAATCCTGACCAGGGTTATTGAGAGGAGCTTGGCACTTGGCTGACTGAAGTTAATTCCCATGAATTTGTAGCAAAGCCCAATAAATCTTTCTAAATTCTATTCCTACTCTACATTTTAATTTTGAGATTCAGGTATGAAATTTGAAACCAAGGAGTGTTAATGATAAAGATTTGGAAGATCTATGCTGGAAATTGAGGTCTATGTTATTTCACTATTTGATGGCTTTAGCAATTTGGGTTGTTCATTAACCTGAATTTTAGTACTATGTATTGGGAGTTCTGGTGGTGTAGTGCCTAAGGCATTTGACTGCTAACCAAAAGGCTGGTGGTTCAAACTCACCAACCACTCTTCAGAAGGAAGAATCTACTTCCGTAGACATATCCGCCTCAGAAACCCAAGGAGAGGTCGCTATGAGTTGGATGACTTTAGCAATTTGGGTTGTTCATTAACCTGCATTTTAGTATTATATATCTCCTTCAGCACCTAACTTATTATTAGTGACAGAGAAGTACTTGAACAGTAGAGAGGATATATCAATTTGGTTAGCACTATTTTATTTTCTCAGTAAAAAGAAAACTTATGAAGAATGATTTTTTTCTACTTCTGTTTTACAACTTACATTTCTTTTTATTGGTTTTGCCTAGATCATTTTTATCTTCAGGTTCTGTTGTTTCTTCTTATGATGAAAATGACACCCTACATTCTAAGCCTTTAATAGTTCAGGTAGGACTTAAGTTTCTTTTTCTTACAGATTTATTATTCTGGATTTTCTTTAAAAAAAAGTGAATATTCTGTAATTGCTATATTACTATTTCATACATTCACTGGTTCAGGTGAAATATTTTACTCTGTGGTAATATTGGCTAAATCCTCAAAGGGTAATGTGGATGTAGAAGGAGAATTAACTTCCACACTGAATAACCTGGGCTGATATATTTTTCTACCTGGCACAACTTCATTGAATGATTGCCAATCATATTAAAGTACTGAGGTTAATAAAATAATAAAAGTAAATGACATATCTGGGGGTGTTAATTTAAAAAATGTTATCTTTTTTTCCTTTATCTTATTGTTTTTTCAGATGGATTGCAACTATCAAGGATATGTTGCAGGTTTTCCAAATTCCCTTGTGACACTCAACACTTGTTCAGGACTCAGGTTGTAGCCTATTTAAGGATATTCAGTTATTAGATCCTACTATTCTATGAGTTGATTCTCCATGTATGTTTTCTGATTTCATAGTCATCTTTGTTTTTTCAATCTGTAAGGTACTGAATCAGAATTACCAATAAAATAGAGCTAGTCACCCTGGCAGCATATGTTTCTGGTGGGAGACTATTAGGATCTGCTGCTTGAGGTTTGAGTAATCTTGAGTTTAGGATGTGTTCACTGGTTTCTTTATACTTCTTCAAATTTCTTAAATTCTTTCCATTTTTGTCTGATATCTTAATTTCCTGGGAAGATTGACAATTGTAGAGTGTTTAAGTCTGATTGACACTTTGGCTCTGCACTCAGTCTTTAGGAATATAGCATCCTCAATTCAGCCCACATGAACACATGACTTGGGACCTTAAATGGCAGAAGAGAGTTCCCTTCAAAGAGAAGAAAGGGACCTAGTTCAAAGCTAATGCAGGAAATCCACACAGTAGGGAAGGGGTTTTACCTGTTGAAGCACACAGATCCACATTGCTACCCTGCTTTCTTAAAACAAGCTAGGTGTTTCTCTTACACTATTTGTAATATAAGGCAATGGAGGCATCCTGTGATGTAGTGTCCATTTCTGTCTGGAATGTGATCTCAAAGGATAAAGAGTGAAAGTAATGAAAACAAAGCATCTTTATATGTGTGTGTGTGTGTGTGTGTATTATATATATATAATATATATCCAGAAAATCATAGCTGTAATTTCTCATTAGAATATTAGATAGTTTTGGTACAGTAATTTTAGGTCTGTTTTGATTATTTTAACATTCAGGGGAATATTGCAGTTTGAAAACATCTCATATGGAATTGAACCAATGGAGGCCATATCAGGATTTGTGCATTTGATTTATGAAGAAAAAAATGAGAACATTAATATTCCTCTCTTAGGAAACAATGACATTTATGCTTGGTCTAATAATTCACAGAATCAAGTCAGAAAAAGTTCAAGGGTAAGTGTTGACTCTTTTATTTTAACTTTTCCTGTTGGAAATTATCCAGTGCAACTTTGTGAAATAAAAAAAATACTTTCAGGGAAAAGTTTAATTGGTAACCTTCAAATCTTAAAATTATTTTGCTTTTTTCATGAGGACCCTGCCAGACTTTTTAAATGGCTAGAGAATAAATTTAAGTTCTTTGTTAGGCTTCTTATTTGATGAAAATTTAGTAAAAAGTTACATAATTAATCCTGGAAACAGGGAGGTGTGAATATAGGACTAAAAGAAACAAAAAAATAATTTTTACATGTGGGGATTTGTATACTTTGTGTACAATATTATTTCTGTCAATTATTCTGCTTATTGAGGTGAAAATATGTGATTTGGATTTCTAAGTCAAGTCTTTGCTATAAGATTTTAACATTCAGGGGAATATTGCAGTTTGAAAACATCTCCAAAAAAGAGCTCCAAAATGGATAAAGAAAGTGGCTTATATAAGGCAAAGTGATGAATTCTTTCTCCGCAGAGGCCTGCAAACTATCAAAATAACACAACTGACTAGTGAACAGCCATATATTTAAACATTAGAAGTATTTTTCTGAACTACACTGTTTGCCACAAGTGGCTTCCTAATAATAATTGAAGGCAGAAAATCCACCCACACAGAAGATGAATATGAACATTATTAGCAGTATGAAAGCTAAGAATTGAAAAGCGTTATGTTATGAAGTTAGTATTTCCAGCTTCAGCTATTGCTAATATCAAAGGATCCTTGGGTTCTTAGGTAGCTAAAGAAGTCTCATTGAAAATTTTTACTAACAAGGGGTAAATTTTGAATTGGAATCTTCTAAATAGCACCTATATGTTGTATCTGAAAAGAGCCTAGTTATGTAATTGGTAGAAACACATCTTTTGACTTATCTTTGAATGTTATTTCAATAGAAGGCAATTTTCTGGAAATTCTCAGGACACATGCTGTATATTTTTCAGAGAATTGAATCTTCCAAGATAACTCCTCAATATCTTGAAATGCATATTCTCGTGGATAAAAATTTGGTAGGTCCTGTTTTATGCATTATTATTTTTAAATGGTTTAATATTTGTCTTTAAGTTGATTTCAAAGATATAATGGAAATTTTTAACCATTTTGATAAATGTTTATTTTGATTTTGCAATAAATGCATTCTTCTAAAGTTATAAGTAAGTCATGGTTTTATTCATGTTTTAATTCATTTTCTGTGCAGGGTCTCTAATTTAAACTTTTGTAAAGTGAGGTATCTATTCATTTCCTAATTGAAGGACTACATCTTCAGTGAAAGGTTAGATTAGGACTCCTCCAAACTCTCAACCCCTGCATCCAGCAGATGGATGTTGTTGTTGTTGTTATGTGCTGTCGAGTCAGACCCGACTCACAGTGACCCCTCCTTGGTTTCCGAGGCAATATCACTGCGGAAGTAGATTGCCCCATCCTCCTTCTGAGGAGTGCCTGGTGGGCATGAACCTCCAGCCTTCTGGTTAGCAGTCAAGTGCCTTAGGCACTATGCTCTCAGAAAATGGATAAAATGGATAAAATGCTAGTATTTACCTGACTCTCAGCCACATTGGAATGGTAAATTACAAAACAAATATGCCACTTCTTTTGAGCAAAGGCAAAAAAAAAAAAGAGTTAACTTCTGTTGTGTTCTCAGTTTTAGGTAAATTAAACAAAAGAAAAACAGATGAACAAAATTCTCATTTTGAAAATTCATGGCTATAATTCAACTTTTCTTGGGTGTGGGCTTAGAATTTATACTACATATGTGATTAGGAGATTCTATGCCATAAAGCTACATCTGTCCCAGGTTGGTAAAATCCCAGGAAACCTGATAGAAGCAAGTGGTATTTCTCTATGAATGCAACTTAAACCAGAAGACCTCTGGATACTTCAGGATTCCCACAGATGAATGAATACCAGCCATAGGAACTAAAATATGTAATGATATAAGCCACCATGAGCAAGACCCACCAAACTAAGAAAAAATAGATTTGGATGCACAAAATCTTTAGATATTAAAAATTTAAGATCTGTGACAGAGTAATTTCCCTGTAGGGTTTTCTAGGCTATAATCTTTACAATAGAGATCACCAGGTCTTTCTTCTGTGGAGTCACCAAAGCTTTTGGCTTGAAGCAGAGCACTTTAACCACTGTGCACAAGGGATTCTTCCCATAAGACTGATGTTAGACACTGTTAAGTTCTCTTTGACTCATAGCAACTCTGTACAACAGAACAAAACACTGTGGCAGCTCACAATCCTTGCTAAATCTGAGCCCATGGTTGCAGCCACTGTATCAATCCATCTCATTAAGTGCCTTCCCCTTTTTCATTGACCCTCCACTTTACCAAGCATGGTATCCTTCTCCAGAGAATGGTCCCTTCTGACAACATAACTGAAGTAGGTGACACAAAGTCTGGCCATTCTTGCTTCCAAGGTCTATTATGGCTGCACCTCTTCCAGGACAAATTTGTTTCTTCTTCTGGCAGACAGTGGTACTTTCAGTATACTTCACCAACACCACAACTCAAAAACTTCAACTCTTCTTCAGTCTTCCTTATTCATTGTCCAGCTTTCACATGCATATGAGGCTATTGAAAGCACCATGGCTTGGGTTAGGCCACGTTAGTCTTTAAAGAAACATCTTTGCTCTAAGCACTTTGAAGAGAGGTCTTTTGCAGCAGATTTGCCTGGCGCAATATGTCATCTAATTTCTTGAGTGCTGCTTCCATTGGTGTTGATTGTGGAACCAAATAATATGAAATATTATTTAATATTTATAGTTCATATTATTTGGTT